GGAGGAGCCCGGCTTTCCTGCTGCCGCCCCCGGGCTCCCAAAACCACGGGCGAGGGGCAAGGGGGGAGACTCGGGAGCGGGGGCCGTGTCAAGCTGCTTTGGCAGTGGCCGGTGCCGGGCTGCGGTCTGGCGTGTGCCAGTAAAGCCCTTGGCCTGATTGCAGCGTGCGCTTATTGTTGGGTCGCGTGTCCCTCATTAAAGCCAAGCACAGAGAAGGCCTTTCATGTGGCTTTTTATTTCAGCTTGTTAAATGGATGGGAGGCCGGAGTTGGGGGGGGAGGGAGAGATAAACCCTCAGCTGTATGATAATGAGGTCTTGCCACCTTTATGCCAGCGCCCGGCTCGCAAGGCTGCGGACCTTTCCGGCGTGGATCACCTGGGGAGCAGCAGCGAGCCGCAAGCCGCCCTTCGGCCTCTCCGCTCTCCCAAAGGGTCTTTTCTTACAGCCTTAACTCCCCAGGCCAGGCTCTTTCGGGGGATGGAGGGGTGGAATAAAGAAGGAAAGCCAGGGGTCCGGCTTGCTTGGAGGCAAGGGTGCACCCCCAGCTCGATTTCCCCGGCTGGCACTGTACATTTCCAACAAAGCAGCCGATTTTCCTTGGAAACCAGCCCTGGTCCGGGATGCGGTCAGGGCCCGTGTGCAGCCAAACGCCCGGGGTCGAGCCGGAAGGGCATGGCACGGCTTCGGTGGAGAAACAGCCAAGTTTTCCATGGGGGAAAGCCACAGACACGGCCAACGCTGGCCACCATCGTGAACGGTGCCATGGCACCAATGCGGGTGGGTGTGGGCGGGTTTGGGGAGGGGACCAGGCCAGGAATTGGGGTCGCCACCAAAAGGGGATTAAAACTTCTCCTGGTCCCCGCTGCGCCAGGGAAAGCCGGAGCCAGGGAGGGGGGGGCACAAGGGCTGGCAATGTCGGGGGGCTGCACCCGGGGCTGGGTGCCCTTGGCTTGGCTCCATCCAGAGTGGCCCAGCTGTCGCCTGGGGGCTGTGGGTGCGTGTGCGTGTCCGTGTTTGTGGCCTTGGCGGGCACGGACGGGAGCTGTGTCCGTGAAGGAGATAAAGCGCAAGGCAGAAGAGGCACAGGCGAGGAGCTCTTTTGTCTCAGCCTCGTAAACAAGTGGGAAGGAGGAATGTGTCGCTGCTGATGAACTCGGAATTTTGCAGCGATCCGCCCGGCCAGATCCCGGCTTTACCAGCAGCAGCGTCAACTGTCAAAATCAAATCTGATGCTAATAGCTTCGGTACTAAATAAAATGAGAGGCCAGATAACATCAGTGCTTGATAAATGGTAATGAGTGTCTAACCTAGGGGAACAGAAGGGCTGTGGGGCTCTTTAATTCAGTATTGAAAGGCTAGCTGGGTACTGCAGGCTCTAGCAGATGTTAGTATGTGTGTGTTTTGATTTTTGACTTGTATTGGACGTTTATTAGGCTAACCAGAGCCACCCCACGCATGGCCACTTGGTCCAGGCACCATCTGGCACAAGCAGGGCGGCGTGCAAGAACAGGGCCTCGCTTTGGTGCTGAGGATCCACAGGCAGCATCTACCATATGGACCCGGAGCTAATGTAGGTTAAAGCAAGACAAGCTGATCTCTGCTTTTCACAGCTCCGCCAAACCTCCCTGCCATCCTGGCGGCGTGCACCTTGGCGGCTGGGGAAGCGCTCCCACCTCTGCCTTCCCCAAAACCTGGCAAGAGGGGTGCAAGCCCCCCAAGCGCTCCCCAGCCCGCTCAGCCGCCCTTGGGTGGCCGCGATTTTTCAAGTCAAACTTTGCACCTAGTTTTTCTTGTTCCCGGCAGGAGCAGGAGTCGCTCCGGCTCCGCACGTGTCATCCCCCCGAAACAAATATTTTCAGAAGCTCGAGTGGTGCAAAACAGGTAAAAATCCTCCTCGAAACTCCAGGGCGTTATTTTGATTGCAGCTATAAAAAGAGCCCGTGATAAAATAATAACTGGGGAATATAATAAACCACCTGCTGCATGTTGACACACAGGCACACGGAGTTCAGATTAAAAAAAAAAAAAAAGTTGCATTAATAGCATCAAACAGCTGAGCCTGAAAGTCGACTGAGAGCAGATTAGAAGCGCAACTCCCGCAAACTCTTTCCTGTGCCCAACGCACCATCCCGGGTCCCTTTGGAGACTGACAGCGGGGTGACTCTCCCCTAAGAGCCTCGGCTCATTTCGAGGGGTGCACATCCTCAGGGCGGGGGGGACCTGAGCCCGCAGAGCCCCTGGCTTTGCTGAGGGGTGCCGGGGGGGTACCCAAAGCCCCCCTGGGATGCTGGGCAGTGGCTGGCCATGCCCGGCGATGGCCACACCATCCCCCCGTCCTTTCCACCCTGCTCCCCAGCTCGCTTACCCGAGGTCAGGGCGCTTCTTCCCCCCCCCCCCCTTCCCCTTCGCGCCCCATTTGCTGCCGGTTTATCTCCAGGCTGGCCCGGCTCAGCATACGCGTGGCCAGGCCAAACGCATCTCGCTAACGAGACAACGTTAATTAATTCCGGGCGGGTGAAAGTTGCCAGCCTGCCCAAGCCTTACCCCCCCCCCCCGGCCCTCCGTGCCACGCTGCCCTCCTCCGTTCCCGGGGTGAGGGGGGGGCTCACGGACACACATCCAGCTCTCCCCCCCCCGTGTCCTTTCTGCCCCCCGTGTCCCGCAACTCTCAGGCCGTGGACCTCGGGAAAGAAGGTGGGGGGGGGCTGCCAAGGGCTCGGGGCTGCTCCGCGCTGGATCAAATCGGTCGTAACGATCTTGTGGGTCGGTGCGGCGCCCCCGGCGCCGGGAGGAGCGGGCTGTTTTGGTGTGCACCTTGCGCCCCTTTCTGGGCAGCGGTTCTGCTTCGCGGGTCTGCGGTTTGGGGCTGGCGCTCGCCCCTTTTTTTTCGGGGCTCGCCAGCCCTTCGGTGCGCACAGCCCCACTTTGGGAGCCGGATTCCCCCATGGCTTTTTAAAACCCTTAAGCTAGAAAGTTGCGCATCGATTCAGCGCTGACACGCACCGAGAGCCTCTAAGGAAAAAAAGAAAAGAGAAAAGAAAAGAAGAAAAAAAAAAAATCCCCCTTGCTTGTTTTGTTTCTGCCTAAATGTCCATAGCGCGGAGCATCCCTCCAGGGAGCGCCGCTCGGAGGGGTGTTAATGTGGTCGATTTGGGGTACAAATGTTTGGAAATGTTTCCCGATTTTGCACAGAAGGAGGGGGGATTTGCAAACTGTTGCTGCCACATGGCTCCTCCAGCCTGCCCCATTCTCATTGTAATGAGGCCGGCGCGTGCCTCATCTGCCGCGCGGGCGCTGCCACGGGCCG